CCACCCCACAACCACCCACCCCCACCCACACACACACACAGAAAGTGAGAAATCGCCCCCAGGTTATGGCCATGCCAGAACCCCTTTTCCCCCAGTCTCTTCTCACGATTTTGGGCACACACACACATGCGGATGATGTGATTTTTCAAGCCATCAAGTCTGGGATTTGAATCACTCAGCTAGTCATGTGGGATCCAGTGCCTTAATCTCATAACACCACCTGGCCCTGGTTGGGTACTTTTTAAATTGCAAGTGTAAAATGCCAAAGTGAGTCAAAGAAATGGTTTTCAAGTGAGTTCTTTGAAACTAAGGTGAGAAAAGTAAAACAGGATGGATATAGAAAGCCAGAAATCTAAGTCTGATATTAAGCAGCAGTTGATTTGGGCAGAGATCTACCTGTGCCTATCAGAGGAGCAGGGCTCTCTCAGAGGCAGAAGGTCATTCCTTTCCTGTTCAAGCAAGAAAATCAATTACTTGCTTTCAGCTTCATTCAAGAGAGAGCACTTCCAGGAATTTTTTTTTTTTTTGAGAGGTTTTTGCTATAGGGCATGTGCGCTCGCTGAACAGACAGAGACATAGAGACAGAAAGCGAGAAATCACCCCCCAGGGGGGATGGTCACTCCACAATCCCTTCTCCTCCATTCTCCTCTCGGGATCTTGGGCACGCATGCACACACGCCCGGCATGAGTTTTAAGCCACCGGGTCTGGGACGCAAACCGCGGTCGACTACGTGGGAGTCCAGCGACATAGCCATTATGCTAACTGCTGGTTCCCTAGGAATTTTCAGGAAAGGGTTATGACATCACCTAGGCTGCATAAGATGCCAATTCTATTGAAATATTTTCTTCTTTTCCCTAAAAAAGCACTAAGACTTCAATTTTGGTGGTTATATGTTATCTCTTCTTTTCTTCTTTTTCTTTTTTTTCAGAGAGATTTTTGCTATGGGGCGCATGCGCTTGCCAGAGAGACAGAGAAACACAGAAATCAAGAAATCACTCCCCAGAGGAGATAGCCACACCACAATCCCTTCTCTTCCATTCTCCTCTTGAGATTTTGGGCACACACGCACACATGCCCGGAGTGAGTTTCAAGCCGCTGGGTTGAGAACTTGAACCTCAGTCAGCCATGTGGGAGTCCAGTGATGTAATCATTATGCCATCTGCTGGTCCCAATACATGTTATCTTCTAACACAGATGAATTTTTCTAGAATGAGCAAAGATAAACACACACTTATACATCACAAGTGGTAGAATCAGCCTCCATCCTGAGTTTTCCCAGCTTAACCTAAAAGGGAACATGACTTTGGAAGGTAAATAACAGAAAAAAAAAATTGTACTGCCTATGTACTCCCTCTTCCTAAATCTAGGAAACATATGTAACACACTGGAAAAACTGTTCTTGAGACAAGAGAATTACTGTATTACTGCCAAGATCACCAATCTACTCGTGCAAGAGTTGTGGTCTTTGTTTATATAGCAGATGGGAGGGGAAAATATCTAAGCCATCCTGATATTAACCCTTGATAAGTATTATGGTGGAGAGAGAAGAGCACTGAGTTCAGAGGGCTGGGTTTCAGTGTTGGCTCTGCAGCTCACTATATGATCTTAGCCAGGTCATGTACAATCTAAGAGCCTCAGTAGCCACATGGATTAAATGAAGATAATAACTTCAGTTCCAGGACTGCTGAGAAGTTTCAGTGACATGATGGGTGTGCAAGAACTTAGAATCCAGAATACTGCCATCTGAGCAAATGCAGTTTTATTATTCGGCACTCTCTGAGCAAGTGGGGCAGGATGGGGAACACTGACAGCAGGGGGTTACAGGATTGCCATGGGGCAAGTACTCAGCTGACATCAGACACCAGGCTGTCTACCAGATCGGGGAGATGAATAGTCTGAGAAACTGTCACTTTATCTGGAACAATCTGCAGAGAGGTCTTGCTGCCATGTCTTGAACCAAGCCTTTCCTTTCTTCTCCAACTTGACTAAAGATGCTGTGGGTATCCATGTTGGTGGCTCCAATGGTTTGGTGCTGAAAAGAGAGTAAACATTTCCCAGATGTCTACCAGGGGAGAGGAAGGGAGTTGTGATTTCTTTCTTCCCTTTTTTTTCTTTCTTAAGTTTTTGCCATAGGGTGCATGCACTCACCAGAGAGTAACAGAGAGAAAGGCAGATACAGGGAAAGTGAGAAATTACCCCCCCCCTATGAAAATAGCCACACTGCAATTCCTTCTTCTCCATTCTTCTCTTGGGGTTTTGGGCATGTGCACACAGGTGCCGGGTGTGATTTTCAAGCTGCCAGGTCCAGGACTTGAACTGTGGTTGGCTATGTGGGAGTCTAGCACCTTAACCACCACGCCACCTGCTGGCCTCAAGGGGACTATGGTTTCTAAGTAAAAAGGTAGGGGGTGCATTTGAGGGAGTGGAATGAATGAGCAAAAGCATAACCATTGCAATGTGCTGGAATTTACTTAACAAGTTTGAAAAACTTGCAGTAGGGCATAGATGCCAAGAAGTGAATGGTTTCAGGGAAGAGGATAAGCTTGTTCCTGATTCAATGATCCTAAAGAAACAGAAAAGGACAGGGCTGTCTCTAGACCCCCTAGATTAACAGTAGAAAACCGTAAGCAATTTTGGACAAAAGAATTTCCTCTCTCAAATCAAAATTCAATAAAAGAACAGATCTTTTCTGCTCTCTGGAGACTGGCTTCCTGAAAAACAGGATAAGCATGATGATGAAGAAGCTGCCTCTGGAGGTCAAATGAGTCTGAGTTTGAGTCCCAGCCTTACCACTGCCTAGCTGTGTGTCTCAGGAAAGTTACCTAACCTGAGTCCTGTGTTTCTGGTGTTGAGTGGGAATATTAATGAAAATATATAAAAATAGAACCTACATTGTAGGTAGTAGCTACTGGTTCTTATTTTGCTTTCACTCCCACAATTTTGTGTTTCTCATCTCTAATGACCTCGTACTTCACTCTACCTCAGTCATCCATTCCCATGGTCACACCTCAGACATTGGCATCACCCATACAAGTGAAATCTTTGTAATCTCGACTTCAGACATCCACTCTCCAGCCTCCACCTCCCACACCATTGGCTTAATTTTCTTGTCAGTGGGTTTTTACACAACCTCCAATTCATCAACCTCCACTAGCCCATCAACTTGCATCTGCCACCATTTCCTTCTTCATGCAGTTTAGATACTGTGGTGTCTTGTTAGAATCACTCATTTGGCAATTGCCCTCAACTCCTTTTCTTTATCCTCTATCCATCATACTCACTTGCTCCAATCTCAACCCTGGATGAGCTTCCCCATTTGCCTTCTTTGCACATTATGCTAACCTAACATCATTGGTGAAAAAAAAAAATCACACAACCCAGTTGACTATTCTCATTTGAAATTCATAATCTTAGACTTCAGATCAACACTTAAGAAATTTTGCTTATGTTTGTCCACTAGCAGGCTTGCCTTTCCAATGCCCAAGAAGACCCTTTCTTTTATTAAAATTTGCCAGGGAACCAGCAGATGGACTCCAACATAATCGACCACTGCTTGAATCCTGGACCCGGAGGCTTAAAACTCACACTGGGTGCATGTGCATAGCTGCTCAAGACCCCAAGAGGAGAATGGAGGAGAATGGATTGCAGCATGGCCAGCCTTCCTGTTGGGTGATTTCTCACTTTCTGTGTCTCTCTGTCTCTCTGGTGAGTGCATGCACTCTATAGCAAAAATCTCTCTTTAAAAAAATATTTGGCAGAAGGCAAATATGTGCACTTTCAGAGAGAGACAGAGAGAAAAGGAAAGCTAGAAATCACCTCCATGGGGCATAGTCATGCCACAATCCCTTCTCCTTCATTTCTCCTCTTGGAATTTTGGACATGCGACCACATGTACCCATTATGTTTTTCAAGCCACTGGGTTCTGTGCTCAAACTGTGTAGTTGATCATGTGGCATCTAGCTTTGGTCATCTGATCAGTCTTTCTATTTTGAAACATTCTCCTCTCTTAGTTTCTGTTATATACCACACTAGAGGGTTCTTATCCTACTACAATGACCACTCCCTCTCAACGTCCTATGTTGGTTTCTTTTTGTTTTTGTTTATATATTTATTTATTGGGGCTGGCAGGTGGTATGGTGATTAAGATGTTGGTGGTCCCACATAGTTGACCACAGTTTGAGTCTTGGATCTGGTGGCTTAGTGAGAGAAGGAGAGAGAGAGAAAGTGTGAGTAAGCAAGCAGGTCTGAGACTCGAACCATTGTCAGCCATGTGGAAATCCAGCACCTTAACCACCATGCCACCTGCCAGCCCCTTCTATGTTGGTTTCTCATGTCCCCAACTTCCAAATATTGACATTCTCCAGGACTCTGTCCTCTGCTCTCCTCTCCTTTCTATCTATATCCTGTCTAGGTGATGACATCCAATGACCTCAAATACCATTTATATACTGAAAAATCTCAAATGTTTACCCAGACTTCATTCTGAAATCCACACTAACATATACAACTATTTAAAAGTTCTTTCCACTTGGATGTCTCATAGGCAACTCAGACTTAACATGGCCAAAACAAGATTGTGCTTCCTTAATCTTTCTCATTTTGATACATGGACCATCACCAC